TCTTCGGCCTGATGCTGGTAGTGATTTGAGTGGTAATTAATTTTATAGTGTAGGAAGTCCTTGTCGTAGTTGTCATTGCTGGAGTTTTGGGCGAAAGTATGAGCTAGTTTATCTGAGATTTCTTGGGGGTCAGTGATAATTTCTTTGTTTACTTTTAGTACAGAAATCTGTGAAGATTTGAATTTTCCCTGAATCCTTTGAATTTTTTTCCAGATTATTGTGGTTGGTGGCATTTAATGACTCTACGAAACTCAGCCAAAAGGAAGTTTGGGCATCTTTGAATGTTTTTTTAGCGATTGCTTTGCGTTTGTTGTGTTCTACTTTGTTTTCAAGGGTAGTGTGTTTTTTGAAACGATTAAACGCGTGTTTGGCGTCTTTGTTTGCTTGTTCGCAATTTGGGTTCCACCATGGAACTTGCTTTTTGTTAGTCTTGATTTTTTTTAGTGGAATTGCTATATCGGCTGCAGAGAGAACGGTATCATTAAGTTGGTTTATAGTTTCATTGATATCTGAAGTGTAAGCGTTTATTTGGAGCTTACTGATTTTATCATTTATTTCTTGTTGGAATATCGTCCAGTCTGCTAATTTATAGTTAAAAATTTTTTGTACTGATAAACTAGATTTTACTTGATTGGTGGCCAAGGAATGCAATTTTAGACTTATCGGAAAATGATCGCTATCGTATAAGTCATCAAGAACTTCCCAGTCGAAGTTTTCAGTTTCCGAAGAAGATACTATAGATAAATCAATTGCGGTGAGATTACCATTTGCTAGGTTGAATCTTGTAGGTCGGGAGGAGTTAAGGAGCGACATATTTGCATCTTCAAGAAATTTTTCTATAATTTTCCCTCTATCGTCAGTATTTTTGCACCCCCAAAGTATGTTATGGGAGTTAAAATCACCCAAAATTACGAAAGGCTGAGGAAGTTGAGCTTTTAGATTTTCTAATTTAAGTAGGTTTAAATTTTGACTATTTGGTAGGTAAACGTTGCATATCGTTATTCTATATGGTAGGAAGCATTCGACTGCAACTGCTTCTATATCTGTGGTGAGGTTTAGTATTTTGGAGGGTAAATTACTTTTAATGAAGGTAGCAACTCCTCCGCTGGCCTTAGAATTGGTGTGTCTATTTTTGAAATAGTTATCGTATCCTTTTATTGAAGCGCAGAAGTCATTTTTAAAATTAGTCTCTTGTAGACAGATGATATTTGGGGATATATCAAATATAAGCTTGCGTAGAAAGACGAGTCGTTTGTAATATCCATTTAGGTTCCATTGGCACAGTGAGATGGAGTTATTATTATTTATTTTTTATTGTTGGCTCTCCATCTTTATTAGGTTGGTGTTCAACAGTAGCTTCAATACGTTTTATCAACTTGGTAAATGTTGATTTTATACCTCTGCTATCGAGATAAGGGTACAGTTTTCTCATCATGTCAGATATTTTTGAAATATCAGATGAGAATTCGGTAGCTAGCTTGTCAATTTCTGTATTTCCTCTCAACCTATCAAGAAAGTTCAGGAGCTGTAAATGGTCAAGAGGGAAAGAGTTGTCAGGGTTGTTTATTATTTCTTTGAGAGGGACGATTTTATCTTCAAGGGTGGAGGGATTTTCTTGACTTGGATCTTCAACTTTGGATTTCTTTGTTGACCTATTAACTTTTATCTGTTTTACGGTTTTAGTTGGGTTGTATTGGGGGATTTCTATCTTTTCTACAGTAGGTGAATTTCCAGTTGAGTAAAGTCTATCCGACAATGACTCGAGGCTTGATTCCGAATCAGAAAGAGATTTGGAATTTGAGAGTGAAGTCGAAATAGAAGACTCAGTAAGCGGGCGTTTGAAAGTAGCGTCGGAAAGAAAAGTGAGTGTCAGTTGGTTAGCAGGAGCATTGTTTATGTTTGTTTGTGTCCCCACTACCTCTGTTTCATTAGTAATATCGAGAGAAAAGTGCTCAACTCGATTATGGGTCGAGTCTGTTCTATTTGTGAAGACTTGAGGTATGACAAGAGGTTGGGTGGGGGGATTTGAGAGAGCGGAGACTGAATGTTTTGGTTGTCTATACACTGGCGGGCTACATGGCCTTCTTGTTTACAAATGAAACATTTAAGAGTATCTGTAGAGGCGTATATCCAATACGTAGTGTTATCGTAGTCGACTTTGAAATTTTCAGGAACTTTATTGATGTCATCGGGGTTAACATAGATTTGCCGTCTAAAGCTGAGAATGTGAGCTAGGCCCGTTCCAGTGAAGCCCGCTTTGATAAATGACATTTTAGATTCGAGTTTAACCTTGTACGTAGTCAGATATTTTTCTAAAATTTCGTGGGGGATGATTGGGCAAACATTCGAGAGAATTAATCTTTTAGCTTAAGCTATCAAAGGTCTGATTTTTAATGTTACATTATTTATAATTATCTGTTTGTCAATTAGTTCGTCAGCAATTGTATTTGATGCTAAATAAATACATACTCTATTGTTTGAGATTCTAGACGTGAATCTAATGTTAGTTAGTGGGGTGAGCTTTGCAATCTCTGTGACGTAATCTTTTACTGAGCTACCTTCAATGGAGTCAATTATAATAGCTTGATCTTTTTTGGGGAAACTATCTGCGTGAAACAAGCGCATCTCGGGAAACAAGCGCAACCGTGAGACAACTTCAGAGCAATGTCTGACGCTGTTTAAGCGCAATCCGAATGAGTTTCTGCGTCGTTTCGTGACAGTCGACGAAACATGGATCCACTGGTACACACCAGAGACAAAGGAACAGTCGAAACAGTGGACTTTACCTGGCGAAAGTGCTCCGAAAAAGGCGAAGACTGCCCCATCGGCCGGAAAAGTGATGGCCACCGTTTTCTGGGATTCACAAGGTGTGATCTACATTGACTACCTGGAGAGGGGGAAAACGGTCACAGGGCTGTACTATGCCGAATTATTGGGCCGATTCGACGTCGAATTGCAGAAAAAACGGCCCCATTTGGCGAAGAAAATGTACTCTTCTACCATGACAACGCACTGGCTCACACCTCCGCCGTCGCCATGGCCAAATTGGTCGAATTAGGCTACGAACTGCTGCCCCATTCACCGTATTCACCAGATTTAGCCCCGTGCGACTTCTTTTTGTTTCCAAACTTGGAAAAGTCACTCGCCGGGCAGAAATTTGAGTCGAATGAGGAGGTAATCGCTGCCACGGAAGCCTACTTTTCAGACCTCGAGGAAACGTATTTTTCAGACGGGTTAAAGAAGTTGGAGCATCGCTGGGCCAAGTGTATCAAACTAAAAGGAGACTATGTTGAAAAATAAAACGCCACTTTTCCAAAATTTTCGTTTTTTTTTTGTAGGCTAAGTACTTATCGGACCACCCTCGTAAATACTGATTTTGAGTATCATTGAGAAGCGAATGGTCTATATTGTTTATTAAACTGCACGCCACTATATAATGAATAGTTTGTTGCATATTTTAATCAAATAAAGAATAACCTGGAATTTTTTCATGGTTTTATTATTCCTTTTTTCAATAAATTATTGTTCGTTGGATATTAAATACGGAAAAGTAAAATGCAATTTCATGTTAATGCAAAATAATTTTAAAGTTGCGGTATGGAAATCTTCTATAAAATTACAAAATTCTTCGATACGAGAACACCACTATTTCTCTAAGTTAAAAATACTCGTGTCCATTATGAAAGTCTTTTTTGACTAGAAATGTTAATTTTGTTTCTTTGATCTAAAAGCGATTCTTAATTTTCTCTCCATTTTGTGCCAATTTATTTGTTCAATTTTTTTTTCTGTTATGTTGCAGTGAATTGTGTTTAATGTTAATAATTTTTATGACACATTATTCCATATGTATCAGAAGAAAGGCCTATAAAGCTATTTTTTTCTTGTTATCATATTTTTTTACAATTTTATTTACTTCTTTTTTTATTGCTTGCATGTGCGTTAGCACTAGCAATTTTCATGATTTTTAAGTTATCTCACTGAAAAGTTGTTTGTGTATTTTACAATATCTATATAATATTTTAGTTACATAAATATGGTAGTTATAGTTGAAATTTATTCCATTTTCGAGATTATTTAAATATTATTGAAAAAAATTTATTTTTTCGTATTTTCTCTATATATGTGATCGCATAATATTTGTAAGCATGATATTTGTAAGTATGGCTTAAATATAAGTGCAAATAAATGAAGTATTATAATTAAGCATATACTATGAGATCGGAGTACAGATTCCCGACCCCCACAGAGTTGACGAAGCATCCATCAATGATGACAGGTATACACGCTGTATGAGTTTTAGGAAGATAGTTTTCATGGATGACAAGATAAAGTACCACGGAATCAATTTCATTCACGTGATTAAATTTTTTGTTACGTGTGATTGATTGATATTAAGGTAACTCGACTAGTTTGTGACTACACTGTTTGGTCAACTCTTTTGGCTACGAGAAAAAAAAATTATTTTTATAAAAGTAAAACGATTTTTTTGGGTATCAATCAAAATAATATAAGCTATTTAATGAACTTAATTTAATTTTATAAAATTCAATTTTCTTTGTCACAATTTATGACATCAATGTTTATTTAGTTTGAAATGCAATTGAGCAAGTGTCTTCGAGTATTTCTTGTCATTTCATATTATAACCAGTTTTCGCATATATTCTTATCGCAAAACAGTATAACTCAAGTATAGTATAAAATGTTATAACTCACTGCGTGTTTTAACGTCAACGCAGAAATAACAATATATATTCGGAAGGAGGTTAGTATTTTACGTTGTAATACAAATTTAAAATTTACGACCGTTCGATTGATTTCAATTAACTTCTCATCACTAGATCATATAGTTTCATGCTTTATGATATAAATACTTCATTAAAAAATAGATTATTTCAAAAAAATTTATTTATAAAACTATGAATGTTGAATGCGCTTAAAAATGAAAAGTATTTAAAAAAAAAGCTTATTTTTAATTCTTAAGATAATTTTGTTATAGAATTGGAACATCGTGAAGCCGGCGTCTCATTATCTCTTCAGAATAGTAGGTGTATAAAACTAAATATCAAAGTGATTCAATTACCACTATTCGTACAGCTACTTTTTCAATGCTATACTCATTATCTCGATTATTTATTATTTCTAGTTTCACTTGCAAAATGTTTGGATATGTACTTTTTATGAGCTTCTGGTTAGTAACCACTCCAGGATCGGCTCTTGAATGGCTGACAGCACCCGAAAGATTGGTTGGATCCGTCGCCAGATTATTTTACACAGAAGAGACAGTAAAATGGCAGCATATATTGCGTCTTAAGATAGAAACTGTGCCGTTCAAGGGTAATGGTATAGTGTGTTACTTCAATATAACAAGTCGCCCAAACGTTGCTGTAATGAATATCACTTCATTTAGACGACTCGATAAAAATCTAATTGTGCTTTCTTGGTACAACGAAATGGCTCACGGTTATAATCGCCAAACTGAAATTGCAATAATAAGCTCGAATAATTGTACTAGAAATGATCTTAATTTGATAGTCGAAAATGCTATCGTTCTTCCATCAGCTGATAATTTAGACATTTTCTTTCAAGACTCCAGCGATCTTTGTTCTGTTAATCAGAATAATAATGACACCCGCTCCATTTATCGATGCTGGTACAGCTATTTTACACAGGACATTAGCAATACTCCTATAGCAAGCGTAGTAATGAAATTTAATGTTAACCTCGATTGGTCGAGCATGCGGATCGATCGATTGCCATCTAAAGATTTTGTTGTTCGAGGATTTCAAGGCGAACTTTACAAAGTATTGAAAATGGATCATTCTAACGGTAAATTTAAGGAGCTGATGTCACTAAAAAGTCCTAATCGGACTTTACAAATGGCTTCCAGAGGTTTGACTTTTTGCTGGGTCGACAATTCTGGTTATGATAAGAACATTAGTTGTAACCAATTCAATAACCGAAACAAGTTAGTTTATTCGACTACCGCTTCGTTTCACGAACCTATAATAATTAAATACGTACAATCTGATTATGAAGGGCAGATTAGCTGCTTGGTTGTTAAAGCTCACTGCACAGATAGAGAAGATTGCTGGACATTTACGCGGAAAAATTTTTATCGCAAAGGTAATAGATCCACAAAAGAAACAGATGTGATCAATTGTAAATCAAAAAATAGGAATAATTTTGTGTTTTTTGGTTTTCTGAACAATACTTCTTCTGTAAGTCACACAGTCATCTGTACTCGGTCAGGGGATGTATTAGGTAGTGAGTGATATCGAGATAGGGATAGTCTCATCTATGTTGTATAAGAAGCTCCACATCACTACGAGAAGCAATTTTAGGTTATTGTTACATATCTAAATAAAATATAGAAAAGTCTTAAATTTGTTCATTGTTTTATTAATCCTTTTTTCAATAACTCAGTGCATATGAAACGTGAAAAAATAATTTAATTACTTGACTGCGATTAATAAATAATAATAATTACAAAATTGCAGTATAGAAATGTTGATATGAAATATTACAAAATTCTTCCATTCATGGACACCTATAGTTTGCTAAATTAAAAGTATTCGTGTAGAATCCGGTGTCTTTTCTCGCTATAAATACCAGTTCTGTTATTATAAACTAGAAAATTGATTTAAAAATTTTTTGTCTATTTAGATTAATTATATATTATGTTAGTTGATACTGGTCATAATATGCTATTTCATATGAATTCATGAGAAACCTATAAAGTTTTTTTTTGTTATCGCTCTTTTTATTACTTCTTTTACTATTTTTCGTATTCTTTATATGATTAACTATTGATTAATTAAAATATTTATTAAATATATTTTGTATAGAATGTAAGTTTTGTTAATAGTAGATAAGCAATGTATGTTCTGGGACACAAAGGAGCCGACAAAGGATGCCGCCAATGTATAAGGATACGTGTATGTTCTGGGACACAAAGGAGCCGCCCGATGAAGGTGTGAAGGTAGTGACACCTTTTGATTTATGGTCAGACCCCATGGTGAGTGCCTAAAAGGGATTTGATGTACCTTTGACACCTTCCGCGTGCCAGTGGGCCCCATGCTGAGTGTTAAGGGGCATTTGATGTTGGTTGACACCTCGCGCGCGCCGCCAATGTATAAGGATACGTGTATGTTCTGGGACAGAAAGGAGCCGCCCGATGAAGGTGTGAAGGTAGTGACACCTTTTAATCGCGATAAGATGAGACCCCACGCCGAGTGTTGCATTTGATGTTCGTTCGACACCTCCCGCGTGCCAGTGGGCCCTTCGAGGGGGCCAGTCTCCCCCCCCCCCCCAATAGTAGGACGCTTCACCCACCCACCCACCCACCAACCCACCCACCCACCCACCAACCCACCCACAGAGGTTGTTAAGGTAGGACGCTGTAGAAGTCGGTAGGGCGTTTGGTAAACTATATGCTTATGCTGGCTGAGTGAAGGACCCTCGGAGAGGGGGTAGCGTCTCTAGCTTGCTAGACGCGTACGCCGTATAGTGAGGATGCTGTTTTCACTCTCTCTCTCTCTCTCTCTCGCTCTATCCCTCTCTCTCGCTCTTCTTCAATAGTAGGGCGCTTCACCCACCCGCCCACCCACCCGCAGAGGTTGTTAAGGTAGGATGCTGTAGAAGTCGGTAATAGTGCGGATGCTGTTTTCTCTCTCTCTTTCTCTCTCGCTCTCCTTCGATAGTAGGGTGCTTATACTAGCTGAGTGTGGACCCTTGGAGAGGGGGTAGCGTCTCTAGCTTGCTAGGCGCGTACGCCGTACAGTGAGGATGCTGTTCTCTCTCTCTCTCTCTCTCTCTCTATCCCTCTCTCTCACTCTCCTTCGATAGTAGGGCGCTTATGCTGGCTGAGTGTGGGCCCTCGGAGAGGGGGTAGCGTCTCTAGCTTGCTAGACGCGTACGTCGTATAGTGTGGATGCCGTTCTCTCTCTCTCTCTCTCTCGCTCTCCTTCGATAGTAGGGCGCTTAGTAAGCTTATGCTAGCTGAGTGTGGGCCCTCGGAGAGGGGGTAGCGTCTCTAGCTTGCTAGGCGCAGCCACCACCCACCCACCCACCTCCTACCTTTTGTCTGACTACTCCCTCTTCAACCTACAGCGCCGAAACCGCTGCTTTCAGCGCCACCATAGTGCTTAAAAGACGTGCTCGATGGGAAAAGAGCGCAGTCTTTCGAGACAGCCCGCTTCACTAGCTTTCTTAGCAGTGACAAGCAGTAGTAGTAGTAGTAGTAGTAGTAGTAGTACTAGTAGTAGTAGTAGTAGTATTACTAGTTGACCTACGTGCATTTTCATTACAATGGCTTCTATTGCTTATTTTGAAAATACAGTACGCGATTTATGGAAAGCCTATTACAACTCAGACGCTAATAAGGATGATTTTATTAGATGGAAAAATATAATAATTACCGCTTTGCATTCTCTTGAAGAATATATGTTACGGCCTAACTTAAGTAGAGCAATACGACAGAGATGTCAAACATGCGCTACTCATTTAAATTCAATCGAAATTAATTTAAATAATTCCATAAAAGTCGGAGGAAATATTAATTCATTACGAGTCATTCCAAACCAAATTGAAGGGGATGGAGTTATTTGGCGTGAAATAAATTCAGCATTTGAAAAACGTATCATTACTGCATTCATAGCCAATCAAGAACATAGAGATATAAAGTCATTCTTAAAAGCAGCAAATAAATTATTACAACTACAAATACCAAAATATCTTTCAATTCATAATGCTCTAAAAATAAATATAGAAATGTCAGCTCAATTTACCGTAATAAAAGATAATGTAGAGGACATTCAAGTAAAGTATTTCAACACCGAAAATGTTTCTATTTATAAAACGACAGATCTTAAATTATGGTTTACAGAAAATATTGAAGATGTTATACTTAAAAATTTAGAAGAATTTCAAGAAAAAGATTCCGGTTGGACATTAAAAACTATCATCGGTATTACTGTTAATATAAATAAATTTAATCCTTTCAAACCTGGCTCATATATTCAACTACCAAAGCAAATAGCAGATAAAAAAGCAATTATCAACGTTCAAAATACAGATAATGAATGTTTTAAATGGGCTGTGCTTGCCTGTCTTCATCCAGCTAGATTTCATAGCGAAAGAGTTCAAAATTATATGCCCTTTGCGAATGAATTGAAATTCGATGATATAAACTTTCCTGTTGAGGTAAAGAATATTCCTAAATTTGAAAAATTAAATAGTATTTCAATAAATCTATACATACTAAAAAAATACGGTTTGAAATTCGAAGTCTCACCATATTATATATCAACTTTAAAACAAGATAAGCATGTAAATCTTTTGTTACTACAAAGCGATTATATTGATGAGAATGAAACAGAAAAATCTAATAGATCAAATAACAGTGATAATTTCAAATTAAAATTCCACTATGTATGGATTAAAAACTTATCTGCTCTCGTTAGAAGTCAAGTAACGAAACATACTGCACAAATTTATCTCTGTGAACGCTGTCTCCACTATTTTAATAATAAAGAAAAATTGAATATTCATGAGACTGATTGTTCAAAATTAAATAAATATAGAGTTAATCTACCTAATTTTCCTCTTCTGAAATTTAATCATTATGATCGAAAAGAAATGGTTCCGTTTATTATCTATGCTGATTTAGAGTGCTTATTGAAACCAGTAAATAACGGACGATCCTTCCAAGACCATGAAGCCTTTAGTGTGGGGCTTTATATAAAATGTAGTTATGATGATTCCAAATCAGTCTTTAAGATGTATAGAAAAAAACTGAATGAAGAACAATCACCCGCACAATGGATTATCAAACAATTTCAGATTTTGTTAGATGAAATGAATCAAATATATAAGAATGCAATAGAAATGAATCTTTCATGGCGTAATCAAATGGATTTCAAGATGAGCAAAATGTGTCATATTTGTAGAAAATATTTTCAACCTGATGAAACAAGAGTCAGAGATCATTGTCATTTGACGGGTCGATTTAGAGGTGCTGCTCACGCATCCTGTAATTTAAATTATAAGAATCCTTATTTTATACCAGTTGTCTTCCATAACCTTACTGGATATGATTCTCATTTTATAATAAAAGAAATAGCTACTAGCTCTGATCTTGAGGGAAATGTGACTGTTTTAGCTGAAAACAAGGAAAGATATATAGCTTTCACAAAACATGTGGACGGTAGTACTATAAATTTTCGATTTATTGATTCGTTTCGTTTTATGCCATCATCTCTCGAAAAACTGTCCTCATACTTAACCAAACTAAATATCGTAGAGCATGAATTCAAGATAGATAAATATACAAAAACACAAATAGAATTATTGAAGAGAAAAGGCGTTTTTCCATATGAGTATGTTAACAGTTTTGAAAGATTAAAACAGACTCAATTACCACCTATCGAAGATTTTCATAGTCAATTGATAGATAGCAACATCTCTGAAGCTGACTATGAGCATGCTCAAAAAGTGTGGAATGCATTTAACATCATTGATTTAGGACAGTATTCTGATTTATATTTAAAAACTGACGTATTACTCTTGGCCGATATTTTTGAAAATTTTCGTAAAACGTGTATGGACGCGTATCAACTCGACCCAGCACACTATTATACTACTCCTGGATTAACATGGGATGCTATGTTAAAGTGTACAAAAATTGAGCTAGAACTTTTAACCGATATAGACATGGTTTTATTCATCCAAAAAGGCATTCGAGGAGGTATTAGTCAATGCTGTAATAGATACTCAAAAGCTAATAATCGATATATGGGCTCCGAATATAATGAAAAAGAACCTAGCAAGACTTTGATGTACTTTGACGTTAACAATTTATATGAATGGGCAATGACACAATCATTACCATATAAAAATTTTAAGTGGGTCTCTAACATCGATGAGCCTCATTTTTTCAATGTTTCCGATAACAATGAGGTTGGATATATTTTAGAAGTTGATCTAGAGTATCCAAAAGAACTACACGACGAACATAAGGACCTTCCACTTTGTCCTGAACACAACACACCACCTGGGTCAAGACAAAAAAAACTTTTAACAACACTGTATGATAAAGAACGATATGTCATTCATTATAGAGCGCTAAAGCAGGCTATTAAATACGGACTCAAAATAAAACAAATACACAGAGCACTTCAGTTTAATCAAAAGCCTTGGCTTAAAACTTATGTAGATTTGAATACAGAAAAAAGAAAACAAGCTAGAAATGAATTTGAAAAGTTATTCTATAAACTCATGATTAATGCAGTATACGGAAAGACTATGGAGGATGAAAGGAAACGAAAAGACGTTAAATTAATTAGTACATGGAGTGGTAGATATGGAGCAGAA